TCACGTCAACACAGATTTCACGTTCGAAGCTTTCAGACATATCTGCTCTGTGTGCTGGCACGACAAGTACGGGTTTTTAGTCATCGATAAAGATAGTAATAAGAACGAGGGAAGGTACCGGAAAGGATTCGATACTTATATTGAACAAGATGGATAACTTATCGTTGTCGACGATCGCTCAGAAATACGGTAGTATCGATAAAATCCGTCAAGATATCAAACGGAAGTTAAATACCATACGCACCGGAGAGGCGGACGCCCAGGTGACGTTAAAGAAAGTTTTCAAATCGTTGACAGATCCGCTCGCAGCGGTGCAGAAAACTGTATCGATAACACCCGCACTTGTCGCTGCTCCTCAGGAAAAGAAAACCAAGATCGAACCTTCAAAATCGGAATTGAAAGATAAAACGTTCGTTGATAGTTTATTTGCTTCTTTTGGATCACCAAAAAATATGAACAATGATGATGATGACTCAAAGGAGGAGGAGGAAGATGATGATGAAGAAGACGACGAATCGTTCCAAGATGCAGCGGATAAAGGACAAACAACGGGTCGCACTGAAGACGACAATTCTCGAGGCACGACCACTGCCCCGAACGTACAGTTCTACTTGAACGAATTGGCACAACATCCGAAAGAGTCCGATACCGCGTATGGTGTGCGGAAAGCAATCAACGGAAACTTTTTTATCGGAAACCGAACCATTAGTTTCGATTCGGACGGACGACTAATCTTGGACGGTGGCGACAACGATGACGAAGAGGTGTTCGAACCAACACCCAGGTTCTTGGAGCTCCTTTTTAAGAAACATCCGCGTAATTACACAGCAGATGATCGCGCTAAATTCCAACGAGTAGTTACGCTCACCAATGTGCATCGTTGGGATCATCATCCACACGGTAGACCCAAGTCGAACCGCAGTCGTAAATACCGCGATCTCATGAAAACTTTGTTCGCTACATTGACTCCGAGATCAACGAGGAAATCATCGCGTAAAAAATTGAAGAAAGGCTCCGGTATCAAAATTCATCGTGCGAAACTCGTCGTCGAGGGGAACTCTTCTCTTGGGACGATCCGAACGAGTTAGTCCAACGTCTCGTTTTACTTGTAGCTTCGAAACAAGCTGGTCACACCGATCACGACTGAGAAATTCTGAGTATCGTCGAAGAGCTTCGCGAAGCGGATTACATCCACTAAATATAGGTTCCGCACAAAAAATGAGTCACACCGACCGGTTTGGAAGATCGAAACAGACTTACGTTCGCAACACGAAGCAAGGTCCCAAAGGTGACGGTTTCTTACTGGATCCCGACGGGAATTATCTCGTGTCTAACAAACGGATCAAACAACTACAAGATCCCGAAGAGGATACCGACGCCGTGAACAAACAATGGACAGACTCGAAGATGATAGAAGTTTTGAATTCGACACAGCTTTGTTCGGAGAAAATGGAAGAATACAAAAATATCATGCAACGACTCGAGACGAAATTATCACGACTGGAAAATAGGATCAATCAATCAGAGGTTGTGAATCGAGCGAAAGGTAAATAGTGTTGCGATGAGTCACACCGACGGTTTTGGCCGATCGAAATTCCGCCGCGGTCCAAAAGGCGTCGGATTCTCACTGGATTCTGACGGAAATTATATCGTATCGAACAAACGGATTCGTCAAGTGCAAGATCCCGAAAGCGATGAGGATGCGGTGAACAAACAATGGTCCGAACGGAAGTGGAAAGAAGCTATGAAATTAGGTCAACACTGTCTGGAGCGTATCCACCAACTTCAACAATCTTACAATCGTCTGGTTAAAATAGTAGCATCGAAACAGCATTTGAATCGAGAGAGCGGACGACGACGACGGTGACGGTAATTATCATGTCGGCAGAAAAACGTGGGATCGTCGAGGAGCTTCAGAAACCTGCACGACGAAACTATCCGCGTCGTAAAGTACGGATCCTCGGATTGTTCGATTAATGGCAAGCCGATCTCGTCGAGATGCAACCGTACGCCTCGGTCAACAAAGGATACAGATATCTCATCACCGTCATCGACGCGTGCTCGAAAAAGGCGTGGGCCGAACCGCTCAAATCGAAAACGGCCACGGATGTCACTTATGCTCTGCAACGCGTTCTCAAAGCGGCCGGAAAGTCACCGAAACATTTACAAGTCGATATGGGCTCGGAATTCTCCAACCTCAAATGTCAAGCATTGATGAAGCGTCACAAGATTAATATGTACAGCTAGTACTCGACAACCAAACCCTCTATTGTCGAGCGATTCAACCGAACGCTCAAAACGAAGATGTGGAAAGAGTTCATCGCGCAAGGATCGTACAAGTGGGTAGATCAATTTCCGAAACTCTTCAGTGAATATAACGGGAGCGTTCATCGCACTATCGGGATGAAACCAATTGATGTGTCCGAAAAGGATGTACCGATGATCTTGCAAACGCTTCGTGGGCAGCCGCTGAGTAGAAGCGAGAAGAGACCTCTTGCAGACGAAAACTGAAAGTCGGTGATCACGTCCGGATCTCGAGACTCAAAGCCCTGTTCGAGAAAGGATACACACCGAACTGTAGCACGGAAATTTTCAAGATTGTCAGCAGGGACGGACTGGCCGGGGTGGCGATGGGGCAATCGCCCCTCTTGGCCGATTTGAAGGGCCGTATTTCGCCGTTTCGAAGAAGCGCCCAAGGGCTTTTTCGGTTCGTCCTCGAGAAAGGGCCCCGAGACTCCTGAGAGAACAGGACACTTTATTGCTGATTCGGAGAGCGCCCTGAAGGAGCTTTTTTATGCCGTATCTAAGGGCGTTGCATTTTGAGAGCCCTTTTATCTGATTCGAATAAGTCCAAAGGGGTCCTTTTTTGTCATTTCGGAAGAGCCCTGAAGGACTCATTTATTGCCGATTCGAAGAAGACTCGATGGAGCCTTTTTTTGCCGCTTCTAAGGACCTTAAAAGAGCCCCTTTATCTGATTCGAAGGAGTCCTTTTTTGCCGTTTCCAAGGGACCATTTATTGCCGATTTGAAGAGGCCTTGATGCGGTTTTATACCGCCTCTAAGGACCTTCAAGGCACTGGGCTCTTTATCGCCGATTCGACAAAAGGGTCCTTTTTGCCGGGGGCCCTTTTGTACTGATTCAGAGAGGCCTCGAGGGCGCATTTCTATGCAATTTTGAACTTTGGAGGCCCCTAGTAGGGAACCTTTCCTACCTTCCTCAAGGGATTTCGTAGGGGCCTTCGGCGATTTTTCCCCCCTTTAGCGAAATCCATAATGGGGGCTGTCCATAATATACGTAAAGCAGTTTTTCCGATTTTTTTACCCCCATCCCCCCTCCGTAACGCATGATCGATTTATTCATTCATTACGCGTCATTTAACTAGTAAACGGCACTGATTTTTCTATGAGCAGAGCGAAGAAAGGATCCAATAAAACGTTCCAAAAAAAATTAAGACAGTTGTCAATTTTGGCGGCTAAAAAGTACATTTAAAAAAAACAAACGAACAAAAAAATCCGAACTGTGTTTTTCAGAATGTGTTCTTTTTAGACTGTCACTATTACTATTCTACTTGATTCTATGTATCTTCTGTATACTAATTTAGCTTTGGCACAATTTTTCGTTGGAAGAGGAAAATAAAAGTTGAATTCCAAGTATACAACGGATTCTCATTTTTTCATCCAGTTTAAGAAAATATACTAAGTTTTGCATTTCTGGTCTCTTTTTGGATAATGTTTCAAAAATAATATTAAAGAATAGGGTCTAAAATAGCGAAAAATTCATTCTAAAAGGGCCTAATTTTCAAAATTTTCCGGGGGAGGGCCCCCGGACCCCCTTCTACTGGGGGGGCCCCCCAGACCCCCCTAGGGGCCCGCCCCATACTTAATTTAGGGCCAGTCCGCCCCTGATTGTCAGCGTTAATCCGACCGTTTCGATCACGCACGATCTGAAAGACGCGCACGATACGATCATCAAAGGAAAATTCTACCGTGAAGAACTCCAACTCACTAAGTATAAGAATTCGTTCCTTGTGGTGAAAATTCTACGTCGCAAGAAACACCAGGCTTTGGTCAAATGGTTGGGTCTGGACGCGAGTCACAACAGTTGGATTTATAATAAGGATTTCGTTTAAAAAAAAAACGCGGTTGTTTCGAACGGTTTTAAACTGTAACAGTAAATATCCACCATAATAAAAAAAAATTAAAAATAAGAATTTTGGATTCATCAAACTGACCATTGCAATATCCAATTCCAGTTGCTCATCCCAGGACACAAGGGTCCAGTACACACCGCTTCGCCCCTAAAAATTGAAATTCCTGCATCAGACCCTACTCTCCGGTACTCGATACCAGACACATCCTGGAGAAGACGGTCTATCGATGCCAAAAAGTTTACAAGTCCGAAATATCGAAAACAAAAACTCGTATCAAAATTCGGTCCATACAGTCGTCCGATCTTCGATAGTGTAAAAGATTCGCATCGGTCCGGGGCGGATCGGAGGAGGGTATTTTTCCGAAAATATTTTCTAGCGCTCCCGAATCAGACCCTACTCTTCGGTACCCAATACCGGACCATCCTGGAGGAGACGGTCTATCGATCCCGAAAATTTTACAAGTCCGAAAATCCATATTCTCTGCACAATTTGGCTACAAACTTTTGTTCTATGATCGGCATTTGTACCCTACTCAGAGCTCCAGCAGACCGATGGTTAAGTGCCGACAGGTGATGTATCGTTATACCGAGTGATACGGCTTGAATGGAAATCAAATCTGAATTTCAAATTTAATTTTCAAATGAAAAGTATTTCTAACACAAGAAATCAAAAAAAAATTCCGGGGTGGCCAACTAATCCCCTACTTTAATGAAATTAATTTAGAAAAAAAGGGGGGGAAAGGTGCAAACTTGCTGATCCTGCTGAAATCCGTCCAGATAATCCTCTATCTTTGTACTCATTTTATGTTAAGTATTGACCATTTTCCTCTCTTGGTAATTTTTGTCTTAGGATTCGAGTCGAACATATGGAACGACAGTTAGCTAATCTGACTGGACTAGTACAAAAAGCCCTAGTTCAGCAGACACCAACGCCAGCACCCAGGGATCTACCACCCCACTCTGGCAGCTTCCGCATCGGTAATTACTGTTCAATTATTTACCAATTTATTAAGAGCTACTCACTAATTTAATGGAGGCAGGAAGTAGATTTCAGAAACACAAGTCAAACAAGGTCTATTTTAAACAAACCAAACTTCACTTAAATAATCAGCTTCCAAAAAATATGAATTGTAGATCTACATCCATTGCCAAGAAGAAAACTGTAACATTCTAGTACATTTCTCAAATTTTCCCATCAATAGTACCTACTTGTTTTCGATGTTGTCTAATTATTGCCAGAATATTTTCAATATATTTTTCTACAATTCTAATAATACTCATTCCGGTGTATTTTGAACATTTTGAGTTTATTTTCCTAATGCTGCAGTATTTCTGTGAGTGAGAGATCAATGGGCCTGTTGCAAACTTTTGCTAGAGCAAAACTAAGAGTTGTTTCTTACAGATAATGCCTCCAAAATCACGATAAGCGCATCGGTAAAGTCTGAAATGCACTCACAACTTCACAATCTGCCTAAGAAATTTGCGGTTTTTTGAGCTTCCCGCTTCGAAAACGATACTACGGTACAGGTGAACATTTTGTTAGAGGAGCCGTTCCATTGGCGGCAATACTCATCATGGCCGACGCCAGTCCGCCAAAACACGTGTGATGGGACGAGATAACATCTGAACAGGATTAAATCAGATAACAATCGGCGTGTTTACGTTTATATTTTCCTCGCCCGCCTTAATTGATCTTGAACTCTCCTCGAATTACTCGCGGAACTGCGCAAGCGTCGGCCATGATGAATATTGCCGACGATGGAGGGACTCATCTAACAAAATGTTCACCTGTGCAGTAGTATCGTTTTTGAAGCGGGAAGCTCAAAATAACGCAAATTTCTTACGCAGATTGTGAATTTATGAGTGCATTTCAGACTTTGCCGATGCGCTCATCGTGATTTTTGAGGCATTATCTATAGGAAACAACTCTTCATTCTGCTCTAGCAAAAGTTTGCAACAGGCCCATTCAAGGTACTACCTTCACATCTGCATGATTTTTCACTTGATCCTGTTGACGTAGAAGAAAAGAAGAATGTTAAATTTATATCTTTAGGTGTTAAAAATCTGGTCAACAACCCTCCAATGTTAGTGTATGCTTTTGCTGCTTATTTTACTCCAAGAAGACTTTACGTGCGCGGCTCATTTCTAAACTTGAGAGTTATCGCATTGAGTTTTGACATTCCAGGATTTTAAATCAACATCCTGGCAGTTATCCGTGCAGTTGTCATATTTGCACATATTCAGTGCTTCAGAAGAAAGACAGGAGTTAGTATCTTATGTTATCTGGTATTTTGGCACAGACTTTGTTCATTCAGAAAATTTTATGAATTATTTTTCTTAATGAGCTTCATACCATATAGTAACTAAGCGGTAGTGGTATGACAAGATCAGGAATTTTTCCAGAATCTACGGCTTAAAAAATGTCATGATTTCACGAGTTGCCTGTCAAACCTTAATGATAACGTAACAATCGCTTTTTTAGATCAGAAAAATTTCAGTATGTTTAGATTTCATGTCATTTTATTAAAGCATTTGCTGGTTACATGTCGTACCTGACACCTTGAAACCATTTTTCCAATGACTTTGAAGAATTTTCAATTTGGGTGTTAAGGTTGGTGTGAGCAGAGCCTCTCCAGAGCTGTAATTTTAAGTATGTAGTTCAGCAGTTACACAGCATGGAAGGATTGCTCAAGAATTTCTTTTGCAGGATTGACTTATTTTGTGCAAGTGTGGGACTAGGTAAGATGGCATCACCTGAAGAAGATAGGTGCATCCTGCAAGCCCAAAATAGGTGCAGATTCTTGATTGATTTTATCCCACGGCAAAAGTCGGATTCATTGCTGCCTGGTTTAAGACTCAACTCACCTCAGTTTAGGAGCCGTCCTTCATGAGACTAGGTGGGGCATTAAATCAGGTAGGGCTGAGCCAAAATGGTTCCCCCTCCCCCCCACCTACCCCTTTTCAACATGGGGACTTTGTCCAACATGGGACTGCCATGTAAGTGGGTAATGAAGTAACAGGTATGACGAACATTCCAAAATAGAATGGGTCTGTTGCAAACTTTTGCTAGAGCAAAAATATGAATTATTCCTCATAGACAATGTCTTAAAAATCACGATGAGTGCATCGGCAAACTCTGAAATAAACTCCTAACCTCACAATCTGCGTAAGAAATTAGCGTTTTTTAAGTTTCCCGCTTCAAAAGGATACCAAAGCACAGGTCAGCATTTCGTTAGGGGAGTTGTTCCATTCAATCCCTGCTCAACATGGCCAACGCTTTCGCGCGCAAGTTGAGGAGAGCATGATATCAGTCACGGCGCATATCTATCAACACGACGAAAATGTGAATGTAAACACGCAGATTGTTATCAGGTGGTTAGAATCGTTGTCTTGTCACATGTGTTTTGGCGGATTAGCGTTGGCTATGTTGAATATTACGTAGTGTCCTTGTGAGCAGGGGTTGCATGGAGTGACTCCTCTAACGAAATGTTCACCTGTGCCGTCCTATCGTTTTTGAAGCGGGAAGCTCAAAAAAACGCAAACTTACGTACATTGTGAAGTGAGGAGTGCATTTCAGACTTCGCCGATGCGCTCATCGTGATTTTTGAGACACTTTCTATGAGTTACAACTCTTTTTTTTCCTCTAGCAAAAGTTTACAACAGACCCATTTGGAGGTAGACCATGAGGCTTGGCAGAATGGGGTAGCAAATCCAGGTATAGTAAATTAGGCTCTCATCTCCGAAAACATTCAGGTACTTCAGTAATGTGAAATTTAGGAGCAAAGTTTGTGACACAATCCATTTTATTAACCAATATACATTCATTGAGACGACCTGAAAGTGATTTAATGCTTCATGTGTTGAGTATACCGATGATATATTATTTTTGTTTTTATTCTTTTTTAGCTTCGGAGGAATGCGATAAGCACTCGAGCACCCATGCAGCTCCTTCCCTCCCAGGTGTGTAAAACCATCACCCTTCTTAATCTAAATGGTGAGGATATCAATCGATTTTCTCCGGTACAGTGAAGGTAACAGAAAGTGAGACTGGAGCACAGCGACCAACGATTTTATCGTTTACTCCCTCTTAATTCTTTGAATGGTTTTTGTGAATATCTTTTGGTTAATGGAAAGTATACATCGGTACTTCCCAACCCTCAGTGGTATCAAGGTCCAGATATTGTGGTAAATTTGAAAAAAAAAAAAACGAGGAAATTTGAAATTTGAATGAGGTGGTCACTTTGCCCCACCCTATAGGCACAGTGACCTGTGGTGCTGGGACACAGTGAATATTTCTAAAAAATGCCTTCTTGATCCTCTTCCAATTCGTGCTTTATTGCAGAATTTTTCATGAAAGACCGTTTGTCATGATATCTGTAACAGCATCCTTCATGTTTCACCAGGGGTCATACCTTCAGCACTCCGTTATCGAGCCATGTCTATATCAGCAATAAAAGAGGATGAATTGGTTTAAATGTTGCATGTAATTAAAATTTAAGTTCTTTACTAGTGAAAAAGGAAAAAAATGCACCATTGGGAACTTGCAAAAGTACCTTAGTAGAGAAATACCTTTTGTTCACAGGTGATACGTTAAGGATGTGTAGATTTGAATCGCGAAAGTAAATCTGCATTTAAAAATCATTTGAGTGCCAAAATCAATTAAAACGCAAATAAAAGTCACAAAAATTAACCCTAAAAGAGAGATAGAAAACAATAGCCCGAATGCACACAACAATAAAAACACAATTAATACAAAAGAAGTGGGTTTAAAATGCTAAGAAAATAGAACCAACACAACCAGGACGTTTTGGGCCAACTGCGCCCATTTTCAAGTAGAACAAAAGTTAAAAAAATTAAAAATTAAAACAAGTAATTGAGCGTGCAACTGACCGAGATAGGAATTAGTGGAATAGACAGTGCCTATCAGGCACTGATGCTGAATAACGTTCTTAATAACGTCTTATGGGACGGTACCGTACCGCCGAACAACCACTTTGAAAAAAATCAATCAATCGAAACTAGAAGAAAATTCCAACACGAACATGTTGGAAAAGTGTACTAAATGACTGAAATGTTGGACACACACTATTTTAAAGATTCCGTCCAATTATCTTTATTTTAAGCTGATATGCGGCATTTACGCACGACCAAGATTTGCGGCAAACTGCCGTGCATTAGCCCAAAATCAAGATACTTGGACGGAACTTTAGTGCATTTTCATCATAATTTCGTGCTGGAACTAAATTTTCACGCTGAAAAATGGATTTTTCAACGGCAAAGAAATTTTGGTTCGGGTACTAACGGTCATTAAGGAGGGATGAAGGGTGTCTAATGTTCCTACCCTCATAACGGACGGGTTGTGGGCATCTCGTTGGTGAACAAAAGAGGTGCTGAGAAAAAAGGTAGGGTCCTTGCGTGAGAGACCAATGCGTTGCCAATTTACGGATTTCAATGCCGAATACAAAGTCTCAGGTTTCGTGAAATGGACTATAGTAGACTCCACAGGTGCGGAAGACGCTCATTGGCTAAAAAGTTGGGGCTGGAAAGAAGTTTATAGATTTGAGGCGTTCCAGGCTAGAAAAGCATATTTGAGGTTTCTGTCAAATGGAATAAAACGGTTTTGACGGGAAAATGTTTTCAAAGATTTCCCCTGGCAAGTTCATTCGGTTTTTTAATGAATGACCATCAGGGCTTGAGTTGACAGTATAACGGTTCAAAGACAAAAAAACGGGTCTGAGGATAATAATATTTGGACCGCTCGTTGAATAGCGTGGGTTGATCGGTGTGCTGTACTATGGTACATTCGAGTGATTTCAAAAAGCGAGCCCTACTGGCACGCTTACAAAAAAAAATCATTTAACTAATGAAGTGACTAATCGATTTGATGTCATGGAGAAGCGAGTCTCAAAGTTGCACAAGGAATGGGGGACGGGGGGTGCAGGGGATGCACCTAAATATTCTTGAAGAAGCCTGGAACTGGGACCTTATGCATACAACATACAACATCACCAGTCACCAGCCACTTACTAGTCTCAGAAGCACTTTACAAAACAGCCCCAAAAAGCAAGTTTATCGGTGCTCCAATACCAGTGACTCTGTTGTACTCAGCAGGCTCTCAACTTGCGCATGAAATTGTCCGGCCCAATATTCTTGCTGTTTGATTTTTTATTTTCTTTACACCCTTAGGAAGATTTGAAGATTTGATGACATTGGTTTATCTTTCGTGAATTTTAGACTACTGTTTGAATGATGCATGTATCAAAAGTCTACCCTTTTAAGAACTGAATGCATATAGCAGCTTCTGCATACCGCATGCTTACTTATTTGGTTCAGATTTTCATTTTTATATGAATTTTTTATCTTCACAGATAAGTCCGTATCATTTGAGAAGTCAGTATCGTTTAGTGATGAGCCGCCAGATATGAATTCTCCCAAGCAACATTCTCCGCAACATGGAGGTAAATATATTTTTACTTGCCTCAAATTTGGTGTAAAACTGTTCAAAGTTGTGTGTTTTGAATTTCTCAACTATGTAGCATTGATACATCAAATTTTTTTCGACTTACGTAATTAAAATTAACTAGCAGTTTTTCATAATAAAACTGCGGAAAGATGCTGCTCACAAAAGATGTAAGTGAAAGGAAAAAGATGATAATACTTAAAAACCATGGACATCCACTTTCATATTGAGGGCTAAAGCTCACTAAATGTACTCATTTGAATCTTGCAGAGCAGATTGAGAGAGATAAATCACTGATGAGAAGTCGAAAATGTAAGGAAATGGGGTAAGTTAAGCTCTCAGATTGTGTGCAAGGCAAATCAAACATGATTCATCCAAACTGCCCAGCACTTTGTAGCGTGTCAAAAGGAAGAATCTCCTAGCTCCCATGCATTAGCGTAAGGAGAAACAACTTTTACCCTATTTGGGCTTCAAAGACAACTTTTTCGAAATTTTACTTTTCAAATATAATGGAATGATTCATAACTTCATTCTTGCCTAGTTCGAAGGCAATCGCATCCAAAGTTTTGTTAAGTGTTGACGATCTATGGGTACAGTAGCCTTATAAATTCCACTGTAGGTTTCGTAATATTTTCAGAAAAAATGCTTTCAACGGTAATCTGACAACAGTAGGAATTTGCTCTCACAATTTTTATTTTGGATCCATATATTAGATGTTAGGAAATATCTTAGGAATCTTTAAGAATCAATAGTCCCCATTTCAAAATTCCAACACCACAAAAATCGATTTGAAGTGCCTAGAGTAGGCCTTAGCCCCATATTGTGGCAAGAAAAAATTAAACGAATTAGTTAAGCTGCTTCTTGAAAGAGGGTGTTCCGTTTAGGACATTTTTCTAAACCTGTTTAACTCAAGTGCGGCCCCTAAAAATTTTAACTCGATCCCATTCTTCCATGTCTGTTCCTCCCAAATTTCTCAGTGGATACAAAACCAACAAAATCAGCTATCAAGTCTTCTACTCTGCCTAGAATGTCCTCACAAGGTAATGTTCTCTGTAACTTTTTATAGTTCTTTTGACGGCTAGTCTGTCATTTGTTTTCCCTTTTTTCCCAAGTTCCATCGTGGTTAAAATTCAAGGTAAATTTTGCTATGCTATTTCAATGCAACTACCATAGCCAGGACCTAACTGATAAAATAACTCCAATCTTTCATCGTTATGATCAAGCATCATCAAAAAAAGAAAAGAAAGAGGCCTTGATCCTGAAGAAGAACATGTGTCAAACAAGCTTCCGGAGGTCTCTCTCAAAGAATATGTTCTTTTGTTTGATGACTCTTATGTTATCAAAATTATTATATTTGAAACAAAAACTCTGGAAAACCTCTTGATAATCCGATCTTACATAGGTTATACAGATGATTTGATCAGCCTTGGTGGAGTAGTGGTCACGGCAGTTTGATACAGGCACTGAGGTCGTGTCTTTGATCCACACTGCCGACAGGTTTCAAATTACATATAAATATCTATCAGCATGGCTCTGGGTGACTATGCCAAGGACCCCCTATTATGGGAATGTGTGCCCTGTCCGATTTTTTTATTGCATTAAACTCGTTTGTGGATGCTGATCAAAAGTCATCATTCCAACATCTTTCTATGCGACAATCTTTTCTTACTATCCGCTGTTGAAATTTCAATAATCCCTGGAATAAGGGACGGTAGTGCAGCAATAAAGAGTCCAAGAGATCTCTCATTTCAGCACTCAAGTATGGGTCGGTTTTATATCAAAGGAAAAGAGGGAAAGTAGGGTGAAAATGGGAATTTGAGAACAGTAAAATGTCCAACAGCGTTGCGCGATGGTGTAGAAAAATACGAATTAAAATACAATGTTGTATGGTGTTTATTGTACAATATGGCAACGCTGTAAAAAGTATTATATGTTGCCCCTTCAATATGCGGGTTATGCAATGGTGTAATGTAGCCCCTTTAATCTACGGTTTATGCAATGGTGTATATTTCCCCTTCAAGATGGCGGTTATGCAACAGTGTTGCCGGACGGTGCACATAAATAAGTAATTTGTTTATGGGTGGAATTTTGCAACATAGAATTTTGCAGCGTTGCCAGATGGTTCAAGAAATTAGTTAATTTTTCGATACCATGTTGTCAGATTGTGCAAAAAATTAGGATTTTTGGGCTTTAAAAATTTTCGGCTTCGATAGACCGTCTCCTCCAGTTTGGGTCTGGTATCGGAGACTGGAGAGTAGGATCTGATTCGGGAAATTAACAAATTTTCGGAAAATTACCCTCCTCCGATCCGCCGATTCTTTTACACTATCGAAGATCGGAAAACTGTACGGACCGAATTTTGATATGACTTTTTGTTTTCGAGATTTCGGACTTGTAAAATTTTCGGCATCGATAGACCATATCCTCCAGAATGGGTCTGGTATCAGAGACTGGAGAGTAGGGTCTGATTCGGGAATTTCCATTTTTAGTAGTGTGCGCTTGGAGATACGTATCGGAACCTTGTGTTTTGGGATAAGCAACTGGGATTGGATATTGCAATGTTCAGTTCGATGAATCAACAATTTTTATTATTATTCTACAACTGGTACAATAAATAGAAAATCATATAAAGAAAAGAAAGCTACACAAGCTAAAATAATCCATGCTGATACATCCCAGTATCGCCCGTTGGATGTATACATCGGGCACAGAGACAGCGTTCTGAATGATTTTGAAGCGCTCTAAGTTGTTCAAGAATTCACTTTTGCTTGTCAGAATGACTTTAATAGAGCATGTCACGAGAGACCAGGATTCCTTATTCTTGAGGAGCAAGTTTTGGAAGTTTTCAACGGTCATAGAGCATCCCAGACTTCTGGAGAGTGGAAGGATTAGGTCTTTACTGAGAGCCGCTCTCCTCTCTCTAATGTACAAAGCTTTGCGAATCGCACTCTAAAGTCTGCATATCTTCCAGTCCCGTTCGTCTATTTTCTTGTACCCCTACTTTAGGAAGTACATTATTTCGTGCTCGTCTGTGACACGTTCTAGGAGATGGCAATATCTTTCCGTTATCTCAAGTAACCCATAACACCCGACGGGATCGGAAGTGTCTATTGAGCTGAGTTTAAGATGGTGAAACAACTTGTCAGGAAAAAGGAGTCGGGCAAACTTGTTCAAAAGCTCTGCTCGCATTCCTGGAATCTTGTAAGAGAGAGCCTCATAAACTGTGTCCAAGGTGTTCATCGCTCGGATCGATTGCGATTTGAGGGTTGGAGCGTCCATACTTGACGAGTTCTTGTTTTGAAATGATCGATCACACTTCCTCGGCACTATTTATACGTTCCCCGACTAGAATTGATAATTTTCCCCACTTGCATGAAAGCGTAGTTTTATGTTACTACTATAAATTATGACTACATAGTTTGTCCGAGTGTAACTGTGTCTGGTGATTAGGAAATACCACTATATTTACTCTGAGGTAAATTATACCTCTACATAAAAGTGTAATTTATGTTACGACTTATGACAACACAGTTTGCCCGAGTGAAACCGAGTTTGGTGATTAACAAATACTACTATATTTACTGCGAGGTAAATTATGACTCTACAGTTTCTTTACGCTCGGTATGGAAACTATATATTTACCTCCGAGTAGGAAGCTCGTCAGTCTCAGTTTTGATGATATTAGAAACCCTCGAGCTTATAATAGTATTCACATGTTCACTCTGAAATTTTTTCAACGAACAGAATTTTAGAAACGAGAAAATAGTGTTGATATTCTCTTCTGACGAAATCAGAAAACCTCGAGCTTACAATAGTATAAAACTTCGAGCTTATAATAGTATTCAGTTGTTCACTCTGAAATCGTTTCAGAGAACAGAATCTTACAAACTTACAGATAATGTAGATTATCTGTTCTGACGAAATCAGAAAACCTCGAGCTTATAATGGTATTCTATTCTATTTTCACTCTGAAATCTTTTCAGTGAACACAATCTTACACTCGTAAATATAGTGTAGATTTTCTGTTTTGACGAAATCAAAAAGCCTTGAGCTTACAATAGTATTCAGTTGTTTGCTCTGAAATATTATCAGTGAACAGAATCTTACAACGTAAAGATAGTGTAAATTTCCTTTTCTTACCGACTCCGAAAACGTAGAGCTGAAAGTAGTATCTTTATCATGGCTGCCCAAGAACAAGCACAACAGATTGTTGAAACTTTCATCTAATGTGATATTTGTGATGAATTTTATAAACAAGGTGAAAAGCATGAAGACTGCGCTGAACAAATTAAGAAGGAGGAGGGTATCAAAGATGAAACGCATATTAAAAAGGAGCACAACGCGCTCATCCATTGTGATCTTTGTGATGAGTTTTATACGGAGGGAGAGAATCATGAGCAATCTCCCGAACATATTGAAAAGATGTCCACCATAAAAGACGCCTCATCACTGCCGTTGAGAATCAAGAATATTGTGACACTTGCAAAATATCATACGATAAAAGAGAAAAACATGAAGAATCTGCAAGTCACATAAGAAATTTGTTTGAGACGAATGTACCGATAGTTCAAGTCGAGACTGCTTGTTAAAGCAGGTTGAAAAAATTTTTAATCACAAACCTCCAACCGGAGATTCTGATCATCGATGACTACCCACTAATAACTAAAGTCCTCGTGATTGGAAAAATTAAAGAAGAACTCACCGGCGAGGCATTGAGGGTTAATATACTAGTTTACGCTGAGTACGAGAAAGCTGACGATACGAACAAGGAAGGAATGCAGTTGAAAAAGTTTAAGACTAAAAACGAAGCTATTTTCGCGTCAACGGATCTGGACGAGTATTATGAAAAGTTCAGAGCCAAAATCAATAAATAGTCATTCGATTTTCACATGAACAGATCCGGGTGGGTGCTGAAGAAGATACAGGGTATGGAGTTACGTGTCAACCGCTATTACGCTTTACATCGAGGAGGAACGTCCGTTAAGATCCCGTTTCGCACCGACAATGTTGTTAATGTGAATAAAGGTGAATCAAACGATTGTTTCCGCTTCACAATGTTGGAAAAGTTCTTCCCAGTCGAAGAGAAAAATAAACATCGTCTGGAAAAATATTTAGATCTGTTCAATCGTTACGATTTCTCGGACGTTCGATTCGCCACGAGCATAGATAACGTTGTCAAATTCGAGAAAAGGAACGACGTATCGGTTTCGGTATTTGGACTCCGTGAGAGTTTGGTGTCCAACAAGAAAAAGTATACAGTTTACCCAATTAAAATTGCCGACCTGGAAAGAGAGGACCACACCGACCTACTGTGTCTCTCAACCCCCGTGCCATTGAGTTACCATTATTGCTGGATCAGTAACTTTGAACAACTTGTTGGAAAACAGTTGACAAACCATCATGGACAAATCTACATCTGCAAGAAATGCTTTACGCGCAAGATCTCGATGGAGCAATTGAGTCAACACAAAGCTCTTTGCTCTTTAGTAAGCAAAGACGCATTCCTAGCTTCATTTCCCGACGAGCGATACCTCAAATTCGAAAATCATCATAAGGAAATAAAACATAATTACGTAATTTATGCAGATTTTGAAGCCTACTTAGAACAAATTCATGGTGACTCGGAGCATCCAGCGTCTGCGTATAGGTGACACATCTCAAATTCTTACGCTTACTTCCTCGTCACGGACGATCCTGAATTTAAAATGACGGAACCAAAACTGTACCGTGGCGAGGAGGCACATATCAAATTTCTGGATGACATAATCACTCTGGTAGGAAGAATCAGTAGGAGTTACAATGGCAAAGAGGGTAAAATAATAATGACACATGAAGATCGGGCCTTATTTGAAGCGGAAAATAGGTGTGGACATTGCGAGGTGGATTTCTCACAACCAGGTATCGTAAAGGTAAGGGATCATGACCATCAAAAGAGAGCGGGAGGGAAAACAGGGTCCAATTATCGAAAAGCCTTATGTTCAAATTGCAATCTTATTTTCCGACATGAAAAATGTGTTAGAGTCGTCCTGCACAATGGTAG